AGAATTATTAATTTGGTCAGCCTTGGACTGGCATTTAAAATCCCTAGATGTATTAAGGCAAGAAAATATTCTACAGTCATGGTTTCAATATTTACAAATAATGGACAGGTGGACTGTAGATAAGAAAGAGGGAATAACATTAGAAGATGAAAATTTGGTTATTCAGATTAAAGATCAGAGTCAGGCCCATATAAAAATAATTTATAATGCTTTAATAGAATTAGACTCGGAAACAGAATTGGTTAAAGACTGTATGATTAAATGGGCTCAGAATAACCAGGAACCGATCCCATTGGACTTATGGGAGAGAATTTGGATCAGAAATATTAAATTTATACAAGCTCAAAATTTGAGGGAAAATTTTTATAAAATGTTTTATAGATGGCATTTAGATCCTAAAAATTATCTTGTATGTATTCTAATTTACAACCCAAATGTTGGAGATGTGGTAATATGGATGCAACATATTTTCACATTTGGTGGAATTGTAAAAAGGTAAAGGCTTTTTGGATTATGATTTGGTGGAACATTCAAAAGATTTTTAGAAGGAAGATAAAGTTTACTCCTCAATTATTTTTATTGGGTATTTTTGTGGACTTAAATGACAAAGAAACTATTTTAGTGTTGAATTTATTAACTGCAGCAAGGTTACTAGTAGGCTCGTACTGGAACAAAGATTTGTTGCCTACTTTAAAAGAATGGATATTTAAAGTTTCTAGTTTTGCAGAAATAGCAAAAATTTCTGCTTATTTGAAGGATCATACACAAGAAAGATATATTATTGTATGGAGAAGATGGATAGATTATATTCAGAAAAAGTACGAGACTACAAAGTTTCATTTATTTTATGAGTAAATTTTTTAGTAAATGTTGTAGAGATTTGCTTATGATGTAATAGGAGTTAAAGGTTAAGTATGATATATATATATATATATATATATATATATATATATATATATATATATATATTCTCTTTCTTTTTCTTTTTTCTTTTCTTTTTTTTATTGTTAACTTTGTTATTAATAACCCTGTACTCTGCTCTGGGAAGTGAGGAGGGGGAGCTGAGGGTGGGTGGGTGGGTGAGTGGATGGGTAAGGATAATATAGATATGGTAGTTTATGGGAGAGGTGCTGCTTGGGCATTTCCCCTATGCTGCGTCAATGTGTCTGAGAGGGATGAGAGGGGAGGAAGGTGTAGGGAGGAAGTAGGATGGTAAGAGGAGAAGGGGAGGGGAGAGAGTAGGAGGGGAGGAGAGAAAGAGGAGGGAAGTAGGGAAAGTTTAGAGAGGGTGGAGGCAGCCTGGGGGGAATGGGCAGGCAGTACCAATGGTCATGAACTTATTTCATTTTGTAAATTGTATTTTGTATGATGAATAAATGGAAAATAATTTTTTTTTATAAAAAAAAAAGTCTGAAGATCAGTTTGAGTTAGAAGGAGAATAAAGCACAGCTGAACTGTAGAGAAGAGATGGTGTGCCTTCCAGATTAAGGGATCAAAGACCATTATCCTCTGATGACAGCAGTACTGCTGCATAAACTAAAGTGAATAGACATGCTCATGTTTCAAGTCAAAGTTATCATATATATCATCTAGCTCTAGCTGATGTAGAAGAACATCCTAACTTTTTGTCCTATTCTCAGAATAAACTTTTAAAGAGAGGGGGGAGAGAAAATGAGGTAAATTTCTTAATACCTGGAAGATAACATTTTGTTGTGAATCCTTGTCCTTTGATAAGATATATTGTACATTAACAAATAAACAAGGATATTTAAGATGGCTAAGAAAGGCAGCCCGCTTTTTATAGACTGACAACTGATAAATGAGGTTGGTGAGTATAGTTTGAGACTAGAAACAAGCAGGATGACTAATGAAAATAATTTGATTAAGGAAATGGAATAAAACACAGCAGGACTGTATTTTGCAAACTATTCATTAAATAATGGCATTCTAAAAATAAATATTATCAAAGTTGTAGTGAATGACCTGAAAGCAACTGAGGCTGTAATATTGCAGAAGCCAAACAGGCATTTATCCAGGGCTTTATTAAGGCTTTGAGATACCCAGAGACAGAATGATCATTTCTGTATTTCTTCTGCTTTCTTTCTGCATCTTACAACATTGCAATTCTTTTCTTTATTACTCTGTGTTCACTGAAGTTAATATCCCAAAGGCAATGGTGGGATTCAGACAGTTTGCACCACTTCGGCAGAACCGGTAGTTAATTCTTTGTTGCCCAGGCCCAGAATGGACTTCCGGAAGTGGCATCCACACAGAGAACCAGTTGTTCACATACAGTATTTGAATCCCACCACTGTCCAAAGGTGCTTTTCCAAGAGGCAGCTGGACTTTTTTGTTTTTCTTTGAAGATGTTTCACTTCTCATCAAAAAGCTTCTTTAGCTCCGACTGGATGATGGGGAATGGAAGGATTTTTATTCCTTGTGGCCTGCTTGTCATTTGCATTCTTTAGAGAGTTGTTGAGACTACTTGGAAGTTTATCTGTGTCCTCAAGGTCACCTGAATGGTGCAAATGGGGGTAAAGACTTCTTGGAACTGCTGAAAGCACTGTGTTGCAGACTGGAGATAGTTGATGTTGTATCTCTCCCCCTCTATTGAGAGAGGGCCCTTCAGTTTTGACATAGATGGCCTCTTTGATCCCTCTTTCAGTTCTCTCTGTCCAAAATGTGGACTTTGCTGTCTTCAAAAGAGTGGCCTTTGTCTTTTAAATGCAAATGGACTGCTGAATCTTGTTCTGATGGGTTTGCTCTCCTATGTTATGCCATGCATTTATGAAGTGGTTGTTTTGTTTCCCCAATATACAGATCTGCACATGTTTCACTGCATTGTTTGGCATATACCACGTTGCTCCTTGAGGACACAGATAAACCTCCAAGTGTCCTCAAGGACTCTCTAAAAGAATGCAAATGACTCAGCAAGGAATATAAATCCTCCCATTCTCCACCATCCAGTCAGAGCTAAAGAAGCTTCTTAGATGAGAAGTGAAATGTCTTCAAAGAAAAACAAGAAAGTTCAGTTGCCTCTTGAAAAAGCACCTTTGGGACAACCATGACCTGAATGACCGAGAATCTCCATAGACATTGAAGTCAATAGCACTATAACTGGGATGAATTGCAAATCTTAAAATACTGAAATAACTTTTGACATTATACTTTAAATTAGTTTTGCTGTTTTGAATGAAAGACATTGGTTCATCTGATTATTTTAAACTTTGGATTATACTAGAGTGATATCTTTCATTTGTGAGGCTGAAGACAATTACCTTCTACTGCTGCCCTCTCTAAAAAGTCAAATAAGAACCTGATCAATCTCTTGGATAGCAGACAAGAAATAGAACCCATCTTTCATGTTACCTGTGCATCAACTTTGGCTCTTTGATACATACAGTATATTCTGAAAAGAAATCCATTAGCAGAAAATGCCCATGTCTTTGTATGGATTCAAGAATTCTCTTTATGGTTCTGAAATGCATGGATAAGATCTTTCTGCACACGTGTAGTTATAAAATTTAGATGGGGTTTTGAAATAGTATGGGTAAATGACAGATGATCCTACTGTTATGACATAAACACATATGGATTCAATATTAGTGAGATACTTTCATGTACTTGGAAGTACAAAGCAAGATAAGAGATCAGGGACATGCTTTAGCTCTGCTTCATGAATTTTGGTAGTAGCTTATTCTTATCATTCAAAACCTCATTGTTGCAATTTCCCTATAGGTCTTTGCTATTAATATTGGAAATTAGAGGTGGATTGGGCTAGTATCAAACATGCATCTCCATCTCCTTATCTGGGAGACAGTTAAAAGGAAACAAAAGCTGGAGAAGACCTTGAGATGAGTGCCTACCATGCCAGTTAACCACACACCAAGCCACCTGTGGATTGGCTGGATTTCAAATAGATATTATGACTTTGGTGGGAGGGGGCATATTGCTTGCTTAATTATATTTCTCACACAGGCTTTTCTTCAGATCTCACCGTGAATTCCCTGCTATCACTAGTCCCTAATAAAAGTTTCCTTTTGAGACAATGCCTGTTTCAAGAGTTCTGCTTTCTTGGGTTGAAGAAACACCTACACTGTCCGGTGAGGCAAAGTTTTAAGCCGCAACCAGAGAAATGAAGAGACTCTGCATCAGCCACTCCCCCCCTGCCTCACAACACAGCATGTTTTAAGTGTGGAAAGGAGGGGCATCATGCCGCTGACTGCCACAGCAAGATGCCCTCTAAGAGAGCGGACTGCCTGTCGGCTGAAACACCTCACTCATGACCCAGAAAAACTGGTATGAAGTCCGCGGAGGCCATGGAGCTCCCTTGGGACTGTAGTCCAGTAGGTCGAGCTCCAGTCCTACAAGCTGGTGACCCTGGAGAAAGGGAGGACAATGACAAGGATGACCTGTTGGTGAGTGGGCCAATTGACCCCATAACAGTGCCCCTAGAACTGTCCATTCCTGGCACTGGAAAGACAGTAAAACTAGCCACCCTATTGGACTCAGGTGGTACCCAATGCATGGTGGGGAAGATGGGAATACTCTTCAGGAGATTAAAGATTCCAATTACATTTTGCCAGCTGGATGGATCCGTTGTTGGAGAGGTACCTGCTAGCTTTGCCACAGGACCCTTATGCATCGACCTGGGGAACCACATAGAGACTTTAGCTTTCATCGTAGCTCCTGGAATGGAGTGCCCATTAGTCTTGGGGTTGGTGTGGTTAAAGAAATGGAATCCTGTAGTTAATTGGAGGGAGGGGCAACTCAAATTTGCAGAGGAGGAAGCCCTACCCATAGCTAAAGAAACTGGCAGGAGATGTGGATTACGTCACAAATTTGCATCCACTCTTAATAAGTCAGAGCTGCAAAGCCTTCCAATGGAATACTGATATTTAGCTGAGACATTCAGTGAGCAGAGCAGAGCCTTTCAAACAGAAGGTAAGTCTTCAAATAGTGAACACCTTGCTATTCTAGTTGGAAGCCAGTAATAATACCTTAAGTTTATTTATGTAGAACTTTCCCACTCCCACATTTCAGATATAGTAAGTTTATTTCTTCTAGAGAATTTCTGGAATTGTTTGGATCTGCACATAAAATCTATAGAAATAAAAAGACAAAAATTTTATGTCAGTCCTATAAAATACAGTCAGTAAAATTAACACGCAAAGTGTTTCCTAACAACAAGAACTATTAGTAATCTTTTTGCTACACCTAATGTAGAAAAGATACATAATAGTCTTAAAGTATAATTTTAGTCTTAAGTATAATTTTCCCCTTTTAAAATAGTTTATGTGTTTTAAGTATAACAATATTAGGAATTTAACCTATTTCATAAAGTGCCTCTAAAATTCATAAGCTTTTATGAATTATCAAGAAACCTTGATATCTTGCTATCAGTTCCACCACTCTTTTTTATCCTGTAATTTGAAATAGGTTTCTGACTCTAATCAATTACAAATAATTTTCAACAGTAATTTCAAAATCTGTTCCCAGTTTCATTCCAGGTCTTATTCAAACATTTTTGTCAGAATCCAATTATATTTCATCTCTAGTTATCAATTATAAAAAACCCCATTTCTACCTTCTATGGATTCTGTCATACGATGAAGGGAAGGGGGTGAACAAAGGGGCTTTATGGCCCTCACTTCCTTCGATACACTTCAAAGGAATTGGATGTTTGTATCGCCAAAAGAACTAACCATAACAATGGGGCTATTACTTTTCATGTAGTTTTCTCTGAAGAAAGGAACTGGATGTGTGTATCACCAAAAGGACTAACCATAAGAATGGGGCTATTACCTTTCATGTAGTTTTCTTTGAAGTCTCCATCCAGCCGGCAGTAAGGAAAAGGGGGTGGGAGTGTAATGCCTGAGACTGTCACTGGAAGAGGGGGGTGATTGGGTGGGTCTACTGGGGAACCCCTCAAAACCTTGAATGGGAGACCTTGGACCCCAAGTCCTGTCTAAAATGCCTGTAACCATTTTCTCTTAATAAAGGATGCCTGTTGGAAGAATTATTCCAAGAGTTCTGTCTTCTTAAGATGCAAAGTGGGGTGGGTCCTTACAATTTTCCTGTAATATTGAAAGCATGTATAAACTCTGCCTTCTCATGCAGGGAATAACTCTAGTCACAGGGAACCATCCTAGACTCAACCAAGATGGCCATCCTATGAATCAAGAAGCACCAGCTAATGGTGTCATTCCTTACATTGTTTGGAAGATTTGCCTTGGCTTTCTTCACTTCATCTTTGCAGGCTCGGCTATTTGCTGATATTCTGACTTAGTTATGTTCCCCTCTTTCCACTTTCTATACTTGTCCTTTTTATCTTTCAATTTGTCAGAGAGTTCTTTATGCAGCCATGCTAGTTTCTTTTGAGAGCTGTTGTTTTTCCTCTTTGTTGGTATTGTGCTAGACTGTGCTTTAATTATATCATTTTTCAAAATTTCCCAAGCTTCTTGAGTTGTTTTCCCCTTGAAGATTCTCATCCATGGAATCCTTCCCAAGCCCTCTCTAAGTTTATTGAAATTAGCTCTCTTGAAGTCCAAGACTCTAGTTTGACTGTGTTCTATTGCTTATGCTTCTATAATGTTGAATTCTAATATTGCACGATCACTTCCTCCCAGGGTTCCTATGGCTTCAACACCTTCTATCATTTCATCTCTATTAGTGAGAATTAGATCCAAAATGGCTAATCCCCTAGTTCCCTTCTCTACTTTTGAGAGACAAAGTTGTCTGCTAGGTTTGCCAGGAACCTGTTTGATCTTCCACTTGGTGCAGAGTTTTTCAGTAGTAGATCACAACCTACTATTTGACAAGATAGAAAAATGTGGGGTAGGCAGCATAACCACCAGATGGATCCATAGCTGGCTGACCAGCCGTACTCAGCGTGTGGTCCTCAATGGAACTGCATCTACATGGAGGGAAGTGTGTAGTGGGTGCTCCAGGGCTCTGTTCTGGGTCCAGTGCTCTTCAACATATTCATCAATGATTTGGATGAGGGGAATTAGTCAAATTTGCAGATGTCACCAAGCTGGCAGGAATAGCCAACACTCCAGAAGACAGGCTTAAGATACAGAAGGATCTGGACAGACTTGAACACTGGGCACTATCTAACAAAATGAAATGCAATGGTGAAAAAAGCAAGGTTCTACATTTAGGCAAGAAAAACCAAATGTACAGGTATAGTATAGGGGGTACCTTGCTAAATAGTAGTAACTGTGAGAGGGACCTTGGAGTCCTATTGGACAATCACTTAAACATGAGCCAGCAGTGTGCTGCAGCTGCCAAAAAGGCCAACACAGTGCTAGGCTGCATTAACCGAGGGATAGAATCAAGATCACGTGAAGTGTTAATACAACTTTACAATGCCTTGGTAAGGCCACACTTGGAATACTGCATCCAGTTTTGGTCACTGCAATGTAAAAAAGATGTTGAGACTCTAGAAAGAGTACAGAGAAGAGCAACAAAGATGATTAGGGGACTGAAGGCTAAAGCCTATAAGGAACAGTTGGTGGAATTGGGTATGTCTAGTTTAATGAAGAGAAGGACGAGGGGGGACATGATAGCAGTGTTTCAATACCTCAGGGGCTGCCACAAAGAAGAGGGAGTCAAGCTATTTTCCAAAGCGCCTGAAGGCAGGACAAGAAGCAATGGATGGAAACTATGAAGGAGAGAAACTAGAACTAAGGAGAAATTTCCTGACAGTTAGAACAATTAACCAGTGGAACAACCTGCCTCCAGAATGAATGGAGTGAATGCTCCAACACTGGAGGTTTTTAAGAAGAGACTGGACAGCCATTTGTCCAAAATGGTATAGGGTTTCCTGCCTGAGCAGGGGGTTGGACTAGATGACCTCCAAGGTCCCTTCCAACTTTATTATTATTATTATTATTATTATTATTATTATTATTATTATTATTATTATTATTATTATTATATGGATCATCGCACAGTCAGCCAGATGTTCAGACTGGATTTGGCATTTTGTCTACCTATCGAGTCCTTACCCAGGACCTGGGATAGGCAGATGTGGATGTTTGATGGTATTACAGATATCGTCGCAGGATGGAAGCAGTTCCTAATAAGGCTGCCTTTTGCAATTGACTAATAGCGAATTTGTCAATGCCAATGGTGTTCAAGTGGTGCTCCAGTTGTTTTGGGATTGCACCCAAGGAGCCTATGACTATTGGTACTACCCTTGCTTGCTTTTGCCACAGTCTTTCTATTTCTATTTGTAGGTCTTTGTATTTTGTTATCTTCTCCAGTTCTTTCTCTTCTATTCTGCTATCTCCAGGCACTGCCACGTCCACTATCCAGACTTTTTTGTCTTTCTTATCGACAATTGTTAAGTCTGGGGTGTTATGTTGCAGGTGCTTGTCTGTTTGAATTCTGAAGTCCCAGAGCAGTTTAATTTTATCATTTTCTATGACTTTCTCTATTTTATGATCCCACCAGTTTTTGCTTACAGGCAAATGATATTTTTTGCAGATCTTCCAATGCACCATTGTTGCTACTTTGTCATGCCGCTGCTTGTAATCAGTCTGTGCAATCTTCTTGCAACAGCTTACCAAGTGGTCCACTGTTTCTTCAGCTTCTTTGCATAGGCGGCACTTACTGTCTGTTGCTGTCTTCTCAATTTTGACTTTGTATGCATTTGTCCTTAAGGCTTGGTCTTGTGCAGCCAGAATTAGTCCCTCGGTCTCTTTCTTCAATTTTCCTGCTCTTAGCCATTGCCAGGTTTTATTATTATCTGCTTTCCCAGCTATTTTTTTCATGTATTGGCCATGTAGTGCTTTGTCTTCCCATGCCTCTATTCTGTTCTTCATTTGGTCTTTCTTGTAGGCCAGTTTGGTCTCTCCAGTAGTTAGTAAGCCTTCCTGATATACTAATTTCAGTGCATCTTCATCATTGTTCTTCAGATATTCTTCCAAAGCCATTTTTTCTTCTTCAACCATCTGATGTACTTGTAGCATTCCACGCCCACCTATTTGCCTTGGTAGATAAAGTCTATCAATGTCCCTGCGTGGATGAAGGGCATGATTCATTGTCATTATTTTTCTGGTCTGCCTATCCATTGCTTTTAGTTCTGCTTGCGTCCAGTCCACTATTCCAGCTGTGTACCTAATAACTGGGATTGCCCAGGTGTTGATTGTCTTTATGGTATTTCCTCCATTGAGTTTGGATTTTAAGATCTTCTTCACTCTCTTGATGTATTCACCTCTAATCTTTTTCTTGACTTCAGTGTGCTTGATGTTGTCAGCTTGAAGGATACCCAAGTATTTGTAGTACTCTTCCTCATCCAGACTCTTAATGTTATTTTCGTGGGGCATCTTGATTCCTTCAGTTTTCACTCCTTTTCCTTGTTTGATAGTAAGTGTGGCACATTTGTCCAAGCCAAACTCCATAACAATATCTTGGCTATATATACGGACAGTGTTGAGCAGCGATTCTATTTCAGATGGTGTTTTTCCATACAGCTTCAGATCATCCATGTAAAGGAATTGGGATAGTCTGGTAGATGTTTTTGATGTTTGATAGCCATGTCCTGAGTTATTCAGTATTGTTGACAGAGGAAACAATGCAATAACAAATAGTAAAGGTGACAATGAATCTCCTTGAAATATTCCTCTCTTGATATTAATCTCTCCCAGCCTCTCACCATTGATCTGCAACTGTGTCTTCCATTGTGCCATCGATCTTTGCACAAATTTTCTGATGTTTCTACTGACTCCTGTTATTTCTAGGCACTTGATTATCCAGTCATGTGGCAGAGAGTCAAATGCCTTTTTGTAGTCAATCCATGCCACATTCAGGTTGGTCTTCCTTCTCTTGCAGTTTTCCAAGATCATTTTGTCTATTAGGAGTTGATCTTTTGTTCCTCTGCTATTGGGGCGGTTTCCTTTCTGCTCAGGTGGAAAGAGATTGTTTTCAACTAGATGCTGTTGTACTGCATCAGCTACCACACCAGTTAGTAATTTGAAAGTTGTTGGTAAGCAGGTAATTGGCCTGTAGTTGCCTGGTGTTGCCCCTTTTGCTGGATTTTTTTTATTTTTTATTATTATTATTATTATTATTATTATTATTATTAT